CCCCTGTTTAAGTTTTAAACTGTTACCCCTTGTCCTGTCACTACAGTCCATAATGAAGAGTCCCTCCCCAGCATCCTTATAGGCCCCCTTCAGATACTGGAAGGCTGCTATGAGGTCTCCACAGCCCCAACTTTCTCAGCCTGTCTTCATACAGGAGGTGCTCCAGTCCCCTGATCGTCCTCGTGGCCCTCCTCTGGACTTGTTCCAACAGTTCCATGTCCTTTTTATGTTGAGGACACCAGTACCGTACACAATACTCCAAGTGACCTTGGAAAGCATGTCTCATGTTTTAAAATAGTCAGAAGCCATCTATTCCACAGTAGTAAGAGTTGTCGTTAGAATTCCCCAGTATCCATTTAATGTAATGACAATCAGCACGAGGTGTTGCATGTATTAGTCATTGTAATAGAGTCCTGTCAGAAGATCATTTTAACATTATCTTTAAAACAGATGTCTATGTTTTTTATGTGTTTATTTGAATTTAATTTTTGTCAGTAGCTGCAAGAAGTCATTATCTGCCAGCAACATGCTATGCAATTAACAGTTCTTCTGCAAACATGCTGATAGTAGTACATTTCATTCTTATAAATGTAAAAATATCTTGCTAGGTGTGGGTGAAAGTGTGGTGGTTTTGTCTGTGGGTTAAACCGTAGGAGATATTTTGATTTGGCAGAAAGAGATTCAATATTTTTAAAGGCCAAAATATTGAGGTTCTGTAAACACTGAAGACAAATGTCAGTGTCAAAGCAATCTTTTAACAGTGATTAAGGGTGTAAAAAATCGATTTATCTCAGGGCAGACTTTTACGTTTTAATTACTTCAGTTTTCAGGTGTTGGAAGATTTTTTCCTCTCATATTCCTTTCTTTCATGGTTCCTTTCATTTTTCCAGACCATTACAAATCATATCAATTTACTGCTCACTTACAAGGCTTAACACCAATGTACAGTAATTTGTAACTTGTACTGCATTGTAACTGAGCCCAGTGGCAAAAATTAGTTACAATTATTGAAGTGTTGTAGCCAGTAACTGAGGGCAATCATTTTGCCGGAAGGTTACTTCTGAACAAAGAAGGAATGTTTTATATCACATTCTGTTCACACCATGGTTTTTATTTATTTCACTTTATTTCAAATTTCCTTCATGCAAGGTTGAGTTAAGAAGTTTCAGGTCAGCTGGGGTTAAGAAAAGATGAATGTTTGTGAGGACTGAAAGAAAGTAAAATGTTACAAAGAAAAGAAATATTCTCAAATGTATATTTAGAATTCCAGAGCTCGAATGAGAGTTTGTTGACCTCAACAGAAACAAACTCTTAAATTTTTACTTTCCAGTGTAATCCCATTGATTCCAGTGGAGGTACAGCGCATGTGTGACTGGAGGTTCCTCATAGAAGTTTTCCATTTTCTGCTTCTTTACTTGGAGTAGAAAGCCTTCTTATTGCTTCTGGGATGGCAAAAATTGGCATGCAAATACGTCGAACACGTTAAAATATAAGTATCTGTGGTTTGCCCTGTTAACTCTTATGCAGTTTTAAGACCAGTTCTAACCTCCACAACCATGTCTGAAGAAGTACCACTTTAAGATATTTTGCCAGCATTTGCAGGCAATTCTCTGTATAACTTAAATTTCCTGTTTGTTAAATTGTTGTGGATTTCTTTTTTCTCAAATCTGTCAGGTTTACTTTGAATTTTCATTCTTACCCTCAGTGATTGATTATAGGTTTCAAACCAGTTTTTCTCCCAGGTAGTAAGAAAATAATATTTTACCACAAAGTCATGGGTTTTAGCTTGCTTTAAGTTGTAGGAAAACAATCTTCCACAAGAAAATGTTAAAATATTTTTGTTTCTAACACTAGGAATTAGAATTTATTGTTTGTTGTCAGTGTGAATAAGAACAGAATGTGATTTATCTGGCAAAGGTAAGTCCCTTTTAAAATCGTAAAATAACAGAACATTTTGTAAACATCCTGTACATTGTGTACAAGGGGAGAACACTTCATGTCATATACCTGACTGGAAGCAAGGTTTTTGGCACTGTCTCCCCCAGTATTCTTTTATCCAGGTTATGATGCTGTACTGTGAATGACTGGATTACTAAGTGGGTCAAAGTCTAGCTGAACAATTGGGCTGGATGCATAGCCTAATGGGAGCCTTAGGAAATCCAGTAAGAACAAATACAGAGGTCTGCGCCTGGGAATGAGTTAACACTAGCAGCAGCACAGGCTAGGGGCTGACTGAGTGGCAAGGATGAGCTCTGTTGGAAGGAACCTGGACATCAGCGGGACCTTGATAGGCTGGAGAATTGGGCAAAGAGAAACCTAATGGCGTTCAGCGAGGGCCACTATAAGGTACTGCACCTGGGGAGGAAGAACCCCAAGTGTCAGTGCAGGTTGGGGCTGATCTACTAAAGAGTTGTTCAGCTGAGAAGGACCTTGGAGTATTGGTGGATGACAAGTTGACCTTGAGCTGGCAGTCTGCCCTTGTGGCCAGGAGGGACAAGAATGTCCTGGGGTACCTCGGGAGGAGCGTGACCAGCAGATCAAAGGAGGTGATCCTCACTCTGCTCGACTCTGGTGAGGCCACATCTGGAGAACTGTGTCCTTGGTACAAGAAAGACAAGGAGCTACTGAAGAGAGTCCAGTGGAGACCACAAGGATGATCTGGTATCTGGAGCATCTCTCTGAGCAGAGATTGCAGGAGAGGCCATGACTGAGAGGGGATGTATTTAATGCATATCAATACCTCAAAGGCAGGTGCCAGGAGGATAATGCCAGACTCTTTTCAGTGGTGCCCAACCACAGGACAAGGAGAAATGGGCATAAACTAAAACATAATAAGTTTCACCTCCACGTGAGTTGGAACTTTTACGTTGAGGGTGGCAGAGCACTGGAACAGGCTGCCCAGGGGGGCTTGTGGAGTCTCCCTCTCTGGAGACATTCAAAACCCACATGGACACATTCCTGCGTGACCTACTCCAGGTGGCTCTGGTCTGGCAGGGAGTTGTACTGTATGATTTCCAGAGGTCCCTTCCAACACTGACATTCTGTGATTCTGTGATCTGGTAGGAAGCAAGAGCTCAAGTCATCAGCGCTCTTTGGCAGCAAAGAGCCAAAAACATCTGGGGCTGTATTGACAGGAGGGTAGCTGGTCAAGTGAGGAAAGTGATTGCCTCCTCTACCCAGCACTTGTTAGACCACATCCAGAGGCTGTGACCTACTTTACGCCCCCTTAATACAGGAAAGATATTGCCAGCTGCAGTAAATTTTGCTGGGAGCTGCAGAGGTGGTTAAGCTGGAGCACAGGCCCTGTCAGCAGTGGCTGAGGGACCTTACTTTGAGAAAGAGATTGGACTAGAGATCTGCTAATGTCCCTTCCAGCCTGAATAACCCCATGGTTCTTGTAAAAGTCATTACTGAGATGTTTAATTTTTATACCTATGTCTCAATTTGAAATCAAATTATTTAACACATAAGTCTTTCTCCTTTACCCTAGTTTTTATTATTATCTTAGTAGAGATAATAGACTTTGCCAAAAATTACATTTTTATATAAAGAATGTTAAAACATGCAAGTCTTCTATTCACGGTGTGGGACTACATGTAAGAACTAGCTTTTTGTAAGATAACAGCATTAAAAAGGAAGGAAAAAACATTTTCTTTAAGCCTAAAGAACCAGAAAGTATTAAAATATTCCTGCTACAAACCATTTATTGACAATACTTATCTCCAGTCTTAACAAATACTAAAAGATATCTTTGACTATTTTCACTTTTGTGAAACATGTAGATGATTACTGTTTAAATTTTAAAATCATGTGAGATCTCTTTGAAGTGTGCCTGCTCAGTAGAAATAAAGGATTGTAGAAAGGAGAACCATATTGGACTGAATGAAAGAGGTCAAAGGTTTGTGCCATGACAAACTATATAATATGTCTGAGGCAGATAGAAAGCTTTTGGAGGCAAAGATGGCTTCAATTTGGGACAAGGAGCTGAGGTAAAATGCGATAATATCAGATGAAAGGAGCAGGTGCAGAAGGGTATAGTTAGAACTGCTTGAGTTGGCTGAGCATATCTTTTTGTCATGAAGGAAAGACTAAATACATGAACTTGCCTAAAATAGCTAAGCACTGAACTAGCCTTTCCTTCATTTCAGACTGACATGAAATTTCAGGCTGACATGAAACATGATACACTTATTTTATCTAGGGTGCATACATTTTCTGCATAACAGGTTACAATGTGAGGGAAGTAACTTCCCACAGATCCATTTGACTGCCATTTCGTGCCATTCAATGTTTTGAAGAGACAAACCAGACATGTTGTTACCTGTTTAGGAAAACTGTCCTATAGCTTCAATCAGATCTGTGCACTGTTGAGTACAAAACAAAACCTTTTCAAAATTATTAGCATCAGCTTTTGCTTTTCTGGAGACTGCTGTTAGCAGCCAGGAAGCTTTGAGTACTTAATCACAAAGTAATTGAAGCTTCGCTTCTGTTTACTTCTGAAAATCACATTCTTAAAGTGTTACATGTATTATTTCCATTTACTTTCTATTTAGCAAGCAACCTGTAAGTAATCACAATCAGATATTCCATGTAGGACTGACTTGATAAGGTGAATTGGATGCTGCAAGAGGTCAAAGTTTATAGCAAGAGGTCAAAATTTATAGAAAGAGTCTGTTCCCTGATCTGGTTGAGGATTTTAGCTACAGTTTTCTGGCATTTGCAGGCATTGTGATTTCTTGTTAGGGTTAAAGCTTGAATTAAGAACCTTAGTTGGCCAGGTTTTCTTCAGCTTGGTGTCAAGTTTCACTTCTCTTCTTCTAGGTGGAATGAAGGTGTGCCAAACCGGTGTTGTCATCTATAATTTCAGTTTAGAGAGAAGAATGAAACTTTTGCTTCTATTATAGTGTAAAATAAATGCATTACAGGTAAAATAAGTTTACAGGATTTATTCACATGAAGTTGTATGAGAGTTTCTTAATGTACTTTTTCTTTCTTTGCAGCTATTGGCTGACAAACAAGGTCCACATTAAACGACCCAGCACTGGTCTTCTCATGTATACGCTTGCCACCAGATTTTGTGATGAAATTCACCTGTATGGATTTTGGCCATTCCCAAAGGATTTACATGGGAAACCAGTCAAGTACCATTATTATGATGATCTGAAGTACCGGTACTTTTCTAATGCCAGTCCTCATAGGATGCCATTAGAGTTTAAGACGTTGTATGTATTACATAACAGAGGAGCACTTAAATTAACGACAGGGAAATGCATACAGTAATAAGGCTCATGTAAAGTACAACAAGAAGTACAGTATGCACACCTTGTCATAAAGATGTTGTGGAATGGCAATCAGATCCCAGTGAAGATACATTTCAATACCCACTAAGCCATCAGAAAAAGGAATTTTACCAGAAGTACATAACCAGCTATTATACCTGTAAAGTGCTATATAACTAAGCTATCTTGACTGCAAGGGTTCAAGTAAGTGCCACTTTCACTAAGAACAAAGATTGAGTGTATGCTCAGTAGTGTTTACAGATTGCAGTGACACGTTGATCATGAACTAAAGAAGCAAAATACAACCTGTTTACTGCTGACTTGCTTCTGTGGTCAGGCAGCCCTCAGAAGAAATCCCCAGTGAATGGAATATTTCTTAAGCAATTAAATGAGGCATTAGCAAAAAGATCATGATGGAGTTGAGTAGAGTGAAGTCCGTAAGATCAAACAAATCGGTAAATGCCTTCAGTCATGGGACTGCTTATGATCTTGTATTATAATCTCAGCTTTTGTTGCTGTTTTCCTTACTGCTGTTGGTTGGGTTTTGTTGCTTTTAAGTATTTGAGCCCTTAAAGGATTTTGAGAATGTAAGTATGTATCTTATGGAATTGTCTTAGGAAAAAAAATCATAAGGTGGGAGGGTGGAGGGAAATGTCAATCAAAAATCAAATATTTTATCGTTATTGTGATGCATCTTGCTGTCACACAACCTGTAATATCCCAATTGTTTTCTGGCTACCACTGTCAGTGCCCACTACATGGAGCCAGTCAGAGGTCATTTTGATCCATTTTTAAAGAGTAGTTTTTCTGTTGTGTTCAGATATGAAAACATATGAGAAGGTGCCCTTATTTTTGGTACCAAAGATTACTTTTATGCACATTATTTCTTTTCCTTGAAGAAAGAGTGTAGATTTATTATGATGTTTCTTTGCTGCTGAAGGGAGCATATTCTTTTTGTTGTTTAATTTTTTTCATTAAGCATCTCAAAGCAAAGCTTCTTTTCTGGCTTTGCATATAGAATTTCATTTTTCAAAAAAATCTGCAGGAGTAAAGAAATTATTTCATACATTCAAATACATATATACATACACAATTTTTGTTCCTGATTTTAAAGGAAAATACAAAGTCTAAAGGAACTCAGGTGACATCAGAACATGTATAAAGAAAACAAATATAGGAGACCTAGCCAATTAAATGGAAAATAAAAGAAATGTAGATCAAACTGTTCTTTTAAAACTTAGATTTCTAACAGTGTTGAAGGTACTACTTGTTTGTATCAACTTGATGTTCTGATGTGTAATTGAAATAACAGAGCTGCATTATCTCACAGTGATTTTTCTGAGCATCATTCCTGTTTATCCATGAAACCACTCTCTTATTTCAAAAAAGAGAATAAGAAATTACAGGAAGGTGAGAGAGGGTAAAGTGTCAATGCAGCATATACTAACATAAAAAACCTGTCTGCATATGATATGTTTTAGTCCTAATGGAGCTGGCAAATGAAGAACACCATGATTCCACTATTTTCATGTCAGGCTAGGCTAAGGAGAAAACATGCAGGTAAAATGTATGGATGTTTTCTTTTATGTTCTTAGCTCTATGTTCTTCTTCTATGTTTCTTTTATGTTCTTAGGCCCTCATCTCCAAATATGATCTTCCCTATACCTGTTGAATTTTGAACTAACTTGAGCAATTTCATATGTAGCACAACACTCTCAAGCATTGACTAGCTAAAAGTGCCATTTATTACCCAGTTTTCCGCTCAAGTTCACCTGTATTTCGTATTCATGACTAAAGTTCTCTGATTATGTAAATGTAGTAGCTAAATTACTGCCTTGCAGACAGTTTTTCAAAAAGTTTTTGGGAAACAGAAAGTTATTTTGCTGTATCTAAAACACAGTAGCATCTTTCCTAATTCACCAATCTTTCTCACCCAGGACAGTTTACTTTGGCTATATGCTAAGATGTAGGCTGTGACCCTAACATGATCACCACTGAAACCAAGGCATCATGAGAATCTGAACAGCAATACAGATTTGAATGTGTTTAGTTGGATTTTGGTAAGCCAGAGTGTGTTATTTGTACACTGTGTATACTTAAGAGCTTAGGACAAGGTTATTTCCTTGATGAAAGGTAAGAATGTTCCTGTTCTTTCTGTTAGGGTTTTGCTGCTGTTATCTTTCAGAACTTATTTCATATACATCGACAGAATTTCTATTGAGATAAAGAATTCACAAATGCCAGTCTCACAGTAGCTCAAAGGAGCATCTGTTTAGCTTTTATCTTTTCTTCTGGGAATGTCTTTTCTTCTCTCTAGTGTCAGGCCATCAACGGGAAGCAAATTCAAGTAGACTGAAATATTAACTGACAGGTGATCTTTTTCACCCTTTCCTGTATACCTCCTGGCTTTGTATTGCCCTGGGCAATTTGGGTATTTCTGTTGAGGCACCCCAAGTCATGAATGAAAAACCAGAATACTTCCACCATGTGACTCTTTTTCCCTAAAGGTGACCTGGAGCATAGCACCAAAGGCTTAGCTGCTGTATAGGTACTTTGCAGTGGAATAAATGTCACCTTGTGGCTCTTCAGTGGGCAACATCTTAAACCTTCATAGCTGCCTTGGATAGTTTCTGTTGTTTAAATATGTTCACACCTCCCATGTTGCCTGCAGCACAGATCAGATAAGCAGGATTTATTACAATTACCACTTTTATCATCTAATAGTCTCAACAAGTAATACCAAGCTAGATAGGATAAAAAGAAGAAGGATCCTTAATGTCGTAATGATATCTGCCCTGGTGAGGAGTGCCCATCTGAGGAGTGCCCATCAGTTCAGTCTTCCTCAAATTGATCCTCGTATCAGTCATATCAATTGCCAGCTGAATTTCCAAAACTCATCTTACAAATAAGAACTGGGAGCTACTATCAAGACAGCAGTGTATATTTTTCCAGTTCTTATGGCAGCTTTATATTGAACAACATCATTTAATTCTGATCAATTTATTGTGAATTGTTTATTAATGTACATGTTAATGTTTCTGCTGAGAGAGTCTTTCATATTACATAAAATAATAGATGCTTATATTTGATTGTTAAGTTTTCAGCTTTGTGGCAGTTCTGTCTCCCAGAGCTCTGATCTGCTCTCCAGACATAAGATCTACTGAACCTTTCAAACCTTGTCTGGTTAACACAATCTAATGTGTAATAAAGACTCTACCATTTTTTTCTTAAATAATATAAACAACATGTGCTTGAGATCATCACTTTTTCTCTAATTGACTACAATTTGAAGAAAAACAAGTGTGGGTTCAGTAACCTTTTTTTTGTGTTTAATCTAGCAAAGTGCTGAGCACTCTTTACAGTGACTTTCCTGGGTAAGACATGTCCAGGATGTAGATGGGGATCCAGATTAGCATATTTCAGGATATAACCCTGAAATTGCACATTATTTATTTTTAAGAGCACTGTTACTTTGTGTAGCGAAAAGCACAATTGTTGTAAATAAAATAAAGGAAGAGCGTTTACAGAGAGCTTCATTCTTGCACAGTACTATTGCTACTGAGCGTATGTAATACAGTTTTTTGTGCTTTAAAGTATTGATATGTATTCTGTAAGGATTTTCATGGTTGACACTGTTAATATTATTTCAAGTACAGCTATGGGGATTGTTTCTTATTTGTATAACTGTAAAATAAAGAAGTTTTTTTTTCATTTTTCTGCTATATTCTGAACTATATTCCTTTGTAACACAGTTTTGATAACATTTTTCAGTTATGTGCTAATTGGAAAGATAATATGGAAGGAGAATGTCTGCTCCTTTAAGTTGTGTGGTCAAGGACTTTCTCAGCACAAAAGGGGATATTAAGAAAAGGAGGAGGCCATAAACGAGAACACAGACACAAAACTGTCCAAGAAATTATGAGGGAGGCAGTGATGAGATCAGTCATCACTGATGAGATGAAGCTGGTCAGTCGCACTAACTGGTAAAGGTATGTGAAGTGTAGGAATGTTTATTCCCATAAGATTATCTGATCAAGGAGCTTGTCAAATGGAATACTGAGGAAGAGGGGAAAGGACAAAGTATACTAAGACACAGACCTGATATCTCCAAACCTTGAGGTCTTGAGGGCTGCAGGGGAATTGGTGGACCTGTGCAAGTTGATGAAGCAATGTTCAGGTGAGAAAGAAAAGAGGAATAGACAGAAAAGGGGTCAGTTTCGTGTAAACTGTGGCTGGTAAGAACGCTTGTCTGGCTGAGCCCTGCGCCTGATTGACACAGTCTGTCCTAACTCCCTTTTTTTAACTACCTGTCTGCATAATCTCACTCTGTCCTACATGTGTGAGTTCTGCAAGGACTCCATGCCAGCTGCTGGGGACGATTGTGAGAGGAGAGGAGGCCAAAGTCAGACCAGGCTGTGAGTACCGCTGGTCTGTGAGGTCTGCTGTTGGCATGAGTCAGAGGTCTCAGTTGCTCCATAACTACCTGAAAGGAGGTTGTAGTGAGGTGTTGGAACACTTCTTCCAAATTACATGTGACAGAATGAGAAGAAACAGCCTGAAGTTGTGCCAGGGAAGTTTTAGTTTGGATATTAGGAGTGTTTCTTGGCTGAAACAGTTACTAAGCACTGGAGCAGGCTGCCCAGATCAGTATTTGAGACACCATCCCTGAAGATATTTAAAGGACCTTCAGGTCTTAAAAAATGTAGGTATGGCACTTAGTGACATGGTTTAGTGGTGGACTTGGCAGTTCTGGAGTAACAGTTGGACTTAACAGTTGGATCTTAAAGATCTTCTGCAACCTAAATGATTTTCTGACTCAGTGATTCAGTGCCAGCAGATGAAGCTGGTCTTTAACTTTGAGCTTCCCACTCTAGGCTGGGAAGGATATATGTTCCCAAAACTGCCATTCTGGAAGTCACCAGTCACCAGCATGAGTGTGAGACAAGTGAGGGGCTCAGGACTGGTGACTGGCACAGGACCACAGGTCACAGTCCATGTGCTGCCTGGTGTCACTGCTAAGGGGTGGGTGTGTGTTTCCTTCCCAAACCTGGAGCACGTGGGGTGAGCATGTGAAATCACCAGTGAACTCCAATCTGGACCAACCAGCAAGCAGGAGACCCTGGCTCGGGGCAGGGTGCCGGGCGGCAGAGGGTCTGTGCTGGTACTCAGGGGATCTGTGAACATCCATGTGCTTGTGACCTTGGAGAGTGTCTGCCCCGTGTGCACTGCACTGATGACCTTCTGCCTGTGCCAAGCCCAGAGGAGGAGGGTCTGGGCTGTCTGCCCTGTGGCTGTGCAAGACCTCTCTGGGGTGCTGAGGAGGCAGAGCATCCTTTGTGCCAGCTGTGTCAGTGTCTTCTGCTGTGTGTCACAGGGACGCTGGCTCAGCTTCACTTCTGCAAATGGGAAAATGTCACCCTCATCCCTGAGCCGGGAATCAGGCTGGGCAGAAGATAGCCTGGGCTGGAGCAGCTGGAGGACGCAGCAGCTTATAATGTCCCATTAATACGATTTGTTTTCAAATGTTTGAAGTGGTTTACTTATGTGCAAAACATACTCAATGATGGCCAGAATTAATCTTCATTCTGAAGTATGCACTTCAGAATTCAAAATAATATGAAAAAAAAATCGCTTGTAGAACTCATACACAGTACTTTAAAGCCTATTAGATCAATCAGTATCATGTTTCAAGGAATAACAGATTTCTAAACCTTTACTGGCCATGCTGCAAAAGCTAATGCACAACTCCATGCTGGCTATAGAAACTAGAAAAAATTCCCAACCTTTTTCATAATGAATTTGATATTTTTATTCTTTAATGGCAGATTTGGTCTTAAGTTTGTGTGTATTTGAAACTGGTCTGGCAGTCAGTGATTTGCTGAGCTGTGTTCTTTTTCATGGCACAGGCGCAAGAGGCCATATTTTGCTGAATCTTGCTTATAACTCTGTAATATTATATTATTTTAAATGACTCTTCATTTTTATTGGAAAAGTGGGTTTTGTTGCTTACTACAGCAAAAACAACCATGTAATTGATAATCAGTTACTTTGTCCATGAAAAAATCCTGCACTGTGATGAAGACCTGCTTGCATTGGCAGTATTCATATGTGCTTTCTCCTGTAGCCTTTAACAACGACCTTGTGAGCTCTGCCTTTCTGTATTCAGTTTATACCTTCTTACCTTCTGTTTGGTTTTTTTATGTCCCAAAATAAATACATTTATAAGTGAAGGAGATGTTTTCACCGTTTTCTTGCTGCAAAACTGTAAAGATATTTGATGTGATTCAAGTGCTGCCTCTAAGCTTTACAAAATATGATTATCAATATGAAAGACAGTTTCTCAAAGGAAGGAGTACAGCCAAAGGAAATGTAATTTCCACAGTTTAGTTATGTCATTGAGGTGATAACAGAGCTAGCCAACTTTTTTCCTGGGGGCTAAAATATATTCCAAAGGAAGTGAAATGCGAAACATAAAACGGCAAACATGAAACGAGACAGGCCTGCTCTAAAGGAGACATCATTGTTTGAGTCTTAGTGCTCTTCAATTGTTTTAGAGCAACCAGGAAACATCTCCCCTTAAAATATGTCTTGTTTAT